AAAGTGATTGCTGCAGAAGGTCAAGGACTGCAGCCTTAAAATATGGATTGAAGCTCAACATCAAGAAACAAAAATTCTCACCACTGGGCCAACTGGCAGCGTCAAGATAGATGGTGAAGAGACTGAGAATGTTGACCACTTCTGTGTCCTTGGCTCTACAATCAAAACTCTCAGTACCAGCAGCCAGGAAATTAAAAGACAAATTTTATTGGGAAAGTTTGCTGTCAGAGATCTCTCCAAAGTACTGAAGAGCAACAATGTCAGTCTGGAGACTAAGGTGCACCTCATATAGGCCATGGTCTTTACAATCACTTGCTATGCATCAGCTGGACAATGGCGAGGGATGATGGAAGCAGAGTTGATGCCTTTGGGCTGTGGTGCTGGAGAAGAGTACTGAATATACCACGGACTTCCAGGGGAACAAACAGGTTCATCCTGGAGAGGGTGAAGCCAGGCTGCTCCTTGGAGGAAAGGATTCTGAAGCTTTGTTTGACATACTTTAGACATGTTGCAAGGAGAGACAAGTCCTTGGAGAGGAACGTCATGCTTTGGAGGGTGGAGGGATAGCACAGGAGCAGAAGACCCTGGATGAGCTGGATTGATTCAGTCATGTGGTAATGCGGATAGGTTGTTGGATACAGTAAGACTGGCAAGGGATAGAGCAGGGTTTAGTGCTGTTGTACATAGGGTCGCTATGTGTTGCAGGTGACTTGACAGCACATAACAACAACAATAGCATTCAATACGTTATTTGAAGTACTTGTTAGAGCAGTACAACAAAGAAAGGAAATAAGAGGCATCTATATCTTCAAAGAGGTGGCAAAACTGTTGCTGCATGCTGACAATACAATAGTGTACACAGTATACCAATATGGTAGAGAAGCAGGATACAAGATCAATATAAAAAACCAGTAAGACTCCTCTACAGTAACACAGAAAATACAGATAAGGAATCTAAGAAAGCAAAACCATTTATAATAGTCAGCAACAAATCAAAATACTCGGGAATAAACCTACCTAGAGACGCAAAAGAATTTAATAAAGAAAATACAAAATATTCTGGAAAAAGAATGTTGTTGTTGTTGTTGTTGTTGTTGTGTATTATTGAGTCCAAACTGACTCATAGCTGACCCTCTAGTGGGTTTTGAGAGACAGTTAATCACACAAGGAAGAGACTGTCCATTCTTCTCTTGTAGAGCAGCTTGTGGCTTTAAACCCTTTGCCTTCAGGATAGCAGTGCAGCTTCTTGCCACTAGGCCATAAGACCTAGATAAATGGAAAAATGTACTCTGTTCATGGATAGGAAAACTCAATATAATGAAAATGACAACATTATCAAAGGCAATCTACATGTTTAACACAATCCCAATGTTGTTGTTAGGTGTTGTTGAGTTGTAGACGACTCATAGTGACCCCATGAAGGAAAGGCCTGAGCACTGTTCATACATAGTTTTCGGAGGCAAGCCATTTTGGAATTGGGTGCCACTCCTACTTCCAGGCTTGTTTTAGTCGGGAAGCTCCAGCAAACACTGTCCATCATGGGTGACCATTACTATGTTTGGGACATCACTATCACAGGCTTCAGCATCACAGCAACCATGAGTTACCTCTGTACAGCAATGCACGGACCAGTGCTATGCCACCTAGAAGAATGTTTGACAGGAAAACAATCCCAATAGAGATACAAAATTCATTTTTCAAAGAGAGAGAAAAGGCAAAAAAAGAACTCCCAAATAAGCAAAGCACTTACCAAAAACTCCCCGCTCAAAAAACCTATTACACAGATGATAAACCTAAACTACATGGTTGTTGTTGATTGCCTTTGAGTCAAGCACGACTCATAGTGACCCTATGAACAAAAGACCTGAAGCCCCTCTACAACTATTGTCACTTATCACCATTCATAGAGTTTCTAGAGGCATGTTTTTTAGGAAGTAGATGCCACTCCTGTTTCAAAACCTGTCTTAAACTGAGAGTGCCACCAAACACTGTCCACCAAGGATAACTGTTATGGCATTTGACATCCCAATGGCACAAAGTTCACCATCACAGCAACCCCAGGTTAGCTCAGTACAACATATTGACAGAAGAGTGCTGTACCACTTAGAAAAATGTTCCTCCAAAATATGACAACTGACTGCTAAATCTAAAATCCATCCCTGAGGTCTTGTTGACTCTAAACAAGAGGCTTAAATAAAAACAATCAATATAGTATGTTGTTGTTATGTGTCATTGAGTCCCCTTGCATTTATAGCAATCCTATGTACAGCAGGTCTGAACCCTTCCCTGTGTTGAGCAAGTCTCAATAATTGTGACACATCCTGCTCTATCCTGAACCAACATTACTGTTTCTGACACACCTACCCTCATTATCCCAGTCACTGAATCAATCCATCTCATCTGGGGTCTTCCTCTCCTGCACTGTCCCTCCACCCTTCCAAGCATATGTCCCTCTCCAACAACTGGTCTCTCCTGGCAACGTGCCCAAAGTATGTGAGATGGAGCTTCAAAATCCTAGCCTCCAAGAAAAGACCTGGTTTCACCCTCTCCAAATCAGAAAATTTGTTTTCTTGGCAGTCCATGGTACATTTAAGACTCTTTTCCATCACCACAAATCAACGACATTGATTCTTCTTCTATCTTCCTTAGTCATCGCTCAGCTCACTGAAGCATAACAAGTAATTGAAAAGACCAAGGCCTGGATTAGGTACACCTTTGCCTCTAGATTGACATCATTGCTTTTCAGCACTCTAGAGAGGTCCATGACAATAGATTTTCCCAATGCAGATACACAGGCCAATGGAATAGAATCAAGAATCCAGAAATTAACCCATATACTAATATTTGACAAGGAAATAAAACTGATCAACTAGAGAAACAACAATCTTTTCAACAAATGGTACTGACAAAACTGGGCTTTTATGTGCAGAAAGCTGATATAGGATCCAGACCTCATACCATACACAAAAGTCAACTCAAGGTGGATCAGAGGTCTTGGGGTAAACACCAAAAGCATAAAGATCAGAAAAGACAAAAATGGGATCAAACTTAGGAGGCCTAGACAATGGTATAAATAAGAAACAAGTACATCCAGAAATGTACAAACAGGAGTGGATAATATCAATGAATGAGACCTAAAAATTAAGTCCCTACGTGTATAAAAATCTTTTCCCAATAGGGTGAAGAAAAAAACAAAACAAAGCCAAAACAAACCCTACAGACTAGGTAAACACATTGAGTAATGATATCTCAGACAAAGGTCTCATAATAATAGTTTACAAAATTCTGTAAGTCCTCCACAAATAACCAAACAAAACTAAAAACCTACTTATAGAATGGGCAAAAGACATGAGAAGACTTCTCACAAAGCAAACCATGTGAATGGTAAACAGACACTGCCAATAAGAGAGATACAAATGAAAACAATGAGATACCATCTCATGTCAGTAGGAATGACAAAGTTTAACAGAGGATGTGGAGAGATAGATTGTCTCATACATTGTTGATGGGACTGCAAAATGACACACTCGCTCTGGAAGGCAATTTGATGTTTCCTTAAAAAAAAAGCCGAAAATAGAAATTCCATATGATCAGACTATTCCACTGCTAGGAATACACTCCAACGAAAAATAGAACTGAGACACAGAGATTTGTACACTGATGTGTACAGCATTTTCATAATACTAAGACAATACAAACAGTCCAGATGTCCATCAGATATCTGTCCAGATGAAAAGACTGAGAAACTGGGCTATGCTGCACTTGGGAACAATTACTTCAAAAAATACTATATAACCTGGGAGAGGCTGGAGAGCATTATGCCGAATGAACTCAGTCTCACATGGACAAATATTGCATAAGACCATTATTGTAAAGATAGAAGAATAACTAGTAAGATGTGTATAAAAGTACAAAAGGGAAAGAGTCTCACTGGGGGGAAGAGGTGAAGGAATTTGGAAAGGTCCAGTGGGGACCTGAAAAGATACTGAGCATAAACAATGGTGATTAATTTTATAGAACATAATGTTTGGGAATGAAGCACAATGTAAATGAAGGATTGTATGAAACACAAAGTATGTGAATGAAACATCATATGTATGCAAACCAATATAATTTTTTAAAAAATGATTAAAAATTTTGGTCTTGTTTTTATTGCTTCATCACTACATATTTAAATAGCTCATATTTGGTATTAAATTTATTGTCTCATTAAAATTCTAGAAGACATTGTAAAAAGCAAACAAAGGAAGAAACTCCATTTATATCAATAACCATTTATCTCATTATGAAATAGTTAAAGAACACACCAATTTTGAGCACAGCAGCATTTTCTATTAAGATAAACAATAGCTAGGGCACAGAAATAAAAATATTCACATTTGGTTTGCTATTTTTCACTTATGTTCATGAAGCATTTCAATACAGCTGATAAACAGTTTAAAAGTTTATATTTTTATATATATTGCAGAATTATAAAGTCTTATAGCAATATTTGCTTCAAAATTAAAGAAAAAACATTCTCTGCTGAAATTACAAAAAAATTAATGAGACTTTAATAATAAATTTCAGTAATACTTTAAAAACCTACAACTTCCGGGGGAGCTCTGGTGGCCTAGTGGCAAGGAGCTGCAACTACAATCCCAGAGGCGCATGGTTCGAATCCACCAGATGCTCTGCTGGGGAAGGAGGGACAATCTCCTCCTGTACCAGTCAGACCTGATTTGACGGTACACTCACACAAAAATAATAAAATAAAATAAAAAACTACAACTTCCTTAAAAAATTAAAAACATGAGAAAAGTTATAAAATTTTTATATGTAGTCAATTAAAAGAAAAATTATAATCCAAACATTACCATCAGCAATAGATAAAAATTATCTAGAATCATAATTCAAATGATCTCATAGTTACATATTAAAAATAAGGAAATCTTTGAGACTCTTAATATATATAAGATTCTATCTATATATAATAGCCAAGCAATTAAACCCTACCATACCATAGCAACACCTCCTCCATATATTCTATCACACATCTTCCCTTGATAGGTTGCACCAACATAGGCTGAATTTTCTCTGTAACTGAAGTTAAAAAAAATTAGAAAAAAGGAAAAAAATAATCAGGATCACATAAATTTATAAAACTAAGTACAGTTCATGTTTAACTTCTCAAAATTATTTAGAGATATTTATTTTAACCTAAAATTTATTTCCACCTAACAGTAGATGTAGTAAAGAACCAGGGAAGAGTAAATGCTTCATTTTTTTTAAAACAATGTGATACATTTAAAAAATAAGTAAATAATGGAAAGTGTGTTTTCATATGAACCCAGATAATAATGTTGTTAATGCTGTGTACCATTATTTAGTTGGAATCAACTCATAGCTGACCATCTGGTGAGTTTTCAAAGGCTGTTAATGCATGACAGGAGATTGCCCATATTTCTCCAGTAGAGCAGTTGGTGGATTTGAGCCATATGACTCTGGGATTGCAGAGCAACTTCTTTATTCAATTTTTTAGTATAATATTAATAAATTAATAATCATCAATTTAAAAATTCCTTAAAATGAGAAACGTAAGAAATGCAGCTGATAAGTGGGCAGAGTTATCTAATGGATTGCATTCTCTCTTTAAGTGGATATGCAAAGTTATCTTATGGATTGCATTCTTCCTTTAAGTGGATATGCAGAGTTATCTTATGGAGTGCATACTTCTTTTAACTAGATATATTTAGCTAAACATAGTTATAAAAATATGTAATTTTTATTTATGAAAAATAAGATCTAAGCACATCTATAAAATTTGTAGTTTCATAAGTTCAATATACATACATACATATTAAAATAGTATATCCTGAAAATGAAAGAAAAAGAAAAAAGATTAAATACAAATAGGAAGATAAATATTTAAAGAAAAGTGCAATGGGATAGTTCATGGATAGAGGCATTAAAATATGCATTATATATTATTTTGTATAAACTATAGTAAAACCAAAAGACTATTTACATAATACAAAGATAATTCTTCTTAGAGATTTTGCTAGTCTTGTGAAGAGTAAGGGATATTTAATAATATCTTACATTCTGGTACAAGATTGAAGGAGTGAACTTTTGCCAAAAAAATAGAATGATATCTACAAATTTGTTATAAGACAATGTGGGGGAAGGTAATATCCACACTATCTGATATGAGAAAAAAATATGGCACATAGGCCCCCTCTCCAGAATTATCAATAGTCAGAAATTAGAAAAGACCTGGATATGTTTTTTTCCATATAAACATTAGTAATGTCAAGATATTATGCTTACACAAGTAAGAATGCCACATCATGTGGACGCAAAACAAGGTAAGATTTTTTCCACATTAAAAATCTGTTTAATATATCATTAGCATCTCCAGTAGTTGAAATTTTATTTTCATCTATCCAAAGCTCCAATGAAGATAGAATTACTGTAGTATTAAGTGAAGCAAAAATCTAAAATAGAACACATATAGAAAACTATGTTCAAACACAATGTTTTGAATAGCTTTGGGAATATATTTATGAATATGAACACCATACCATCAACAACAAACATTTCTCAATTAAACTGTAGGTCAGATAAGATCTTTTAAAAGACATTAATAAGCTAAAAAGTACCATTAGCAAGACAAGTAATATTTAACTTTTTAATGCTTAGATCTATATAGTGTCAAGTGTTTTATATAATTATTTACAAGTTAATTATGCATAATTTGTTCAAGTGCAATAATGATTTGTAGACAGCAGTGTGTGCAGTAATTCTTTAGTACAGTAACAGATGAAGAAATATAAACAAATGAAAAAGTAGGAAGAAGCAAACACTTACAGCATTGGTCAATCCGATCAACTGGAAAATTTTTTCAGTAACAATAGATGTATCAGAACCCATGTGATCATACTGAAAAACAGAATTTCCTTTTAAACATAAATATACATTATTTACTATTTAGTGATTGTCATTTTATCACATAAAATAAACATAGTAAAATAAGATTAATTGTCAAAATATTGGTTTTTGCACAGTAATAAGAACATTAAAAATAAAAATGTGAAAAAAATCAGACAATATAAAGAAAACAAAAAATACTACAAACCAAGTACAAATTTGTATTGTTTTATTAATTAATATGACACTTTGAATAATAGAAATATTTACAAAATTTTTGACTCAAATTAGAATATTTACATCTTAAAAATACATTTTTGGGCCACGCAACACAAGCATGCCAGTGCGCTAGATTAGACTGGTCTGCTGCATAGAGAACAGACTGGCTTGCCACTGCCCTACTGTCCTGTGCCAGGTGCACCAATATCACAGGTAAAGCTATTTCCTTCCCGAACAGCACCTTGAAACCTGTGGCCCATTTCAGAGCCAATGCTTGAGCTGCAGACCCTTTTCCCAGCCTAGCAGTGGCAGCTGCTTGGCTGAGAAGGCTGCTAATTTAAAGATCATCTCAGTCCCCAACTGAAACAAATCTTCCTTTGAATAAAAATCAAAGAGAAATTCAGGAAAGTTGAGCTGCCATTTCCTCCTTTGTAACAGTGAGTTCCTGAGCCAAAGTTATCAGATCAAGAGCAGTCTAAGGCCTCGGGTATGAAAAACTTTACCATAGCAATGATACATACAGAAGAAACAGACATCCTTACACCCCACACAAAACCAAAATAAGATGTAACTGCCCTAAAGTGACACAGTATCAATGGATTTCCTGAAACCAGAAAGTCCTATGGAACTTTCTCACACAGAATTCAAAAGAATAATGATTGAAAAGGGTGAAAGACAAATTTGAAGAATTATACGACTCTGCAAGCAAAAGCCAAGAGGAACTTAAAAAAAACAAAACCAAAAACAAATGTAAGACAATGCAGATAAAGCAAGTGAGGCATTAGAGAGTCTGGGAAAACAAGAAACCACTATCCAGAAAATGGAGATCAATGTTTCTGATGCCGTCAACATGTTGGAGGTGCATAGGAACAGAGCTGAAGGGATGGAACACAAAACCAGAGAAATAGAAAATAGATTTTTCAACACAGATTTGCTAGAACAAAAAAGTGAAGACAAGAAATCCCAAGACTAATGTGGGAACTACCAAGAGGAATACCACGCACATAACTGGAATCACAGAACAAAAGCAGCAAGTAAAGGCACTGAAAATGGTGGAAGAATTATTAGATGAAAATTTACCAGACATTAGAAGAATGAGAGA